TCAGGAATTCACCTTTGTTTTTATGACGGTTCCATCAGCAAGATGGACCAGTTTAAAGTGACCAGATTCCTCAATAGAAACCACTTTAGATGAGAACCTAATGGTGCCACTTGGGAGTTCCTGTTCCAGGGCTTCCATCAATAAATTTCTCTTCAGACAACGAACTTCGTGTCCCTTAACCAACAACTCTGAACTGACTTCCCCAGGAACCAAGGAGGGAGCAACTAATCTGCATTGTACAAGTGCTGCCGGGTCAGTTTGGACAAAATATCAAACATCCTGCAAAAACTCCACTGCATTAAGAGAAAATCACCTCTGAAACTGCTTATGCTTCAGGCGAAGGGTGTCACCTACCCCAACAGCATCAAGGGCCTTCCAAGCATTGCTCCATATCGTAATTGCAAATCCAGTGGCCCGTAATCCATCTGCTGATTCCAACACCAAACTTCGAATCCCCAACCTGTATACACACAGCATTTGCAAAAACCATTAACCATATTCATTCATCTCTACATGAATAAAAAAAGTAATCTTATGAACTACATTACCTGTGAAGTCCCAAGGCTGTAGTTAGGCCAGCAAGTCCAGCTCCTGCAATGACAATATCTTCAACGATTTCCATAGTACTTAAGGCTTTAATGGGATAAGGGGTTTCTGAGGTTGCAAAAATGAATGGAAAGATTAAGTCTTTATATGGGCATGAAGATGTGAAGGCTGCGCAGCCTGTGATTTGTCGTACATTATTTGTATGGTCAAATTTTATCTATTAGAAATAGTTGCTGGTCAGCATGGATCAGAGAAACTGAAACTTGGTCTGCAAGTTCAACTATGATCCGGATAAAACGAAGGTACGAAGGAACAACCATTAATTTCACACGTGCTGATTGTTGTAATTGTAACATGAAATATTCTTCTTACGAGGCTTCATTCTTCAAAACAAAACTGATGACCTCCTCCTTGGAAAGCAGTGGATGTGTGAAGAGCAAGTAATTGTCCTCGTCTTGGACGGAATCAAGATGCCGAGACAATAGAGTTTTTAGCGTTAATTTTTATTGTTTTATTTTTTCACTAGTGGTCCGGGTATTTTTTTTTTCATAAATAAGAAGTTTATACCTTAACTTACCATGTTCATATATTATATAACTTAAATTTAAAATCTCTTATTTTCATAAATAAAAAATTATTTGATTTACTTCAATTCGTTGGGTTTCTAAATTAAGAATATAATAAATATATTCTTTTATAATTAATTTACATAAAAAGTGTAAAAATACTCTTTTATAATTAATTTACATTTAAAAGTGTAAAAATTAACCTTTCTTTTAACCCTACAAACAGGTAAATGATTTTAATTGATTAAAGACAGAATTTACACTTTCCATACAAATATAAAAAGATATATTAATTGCACATTTAAAATATATTCTTAGAAATACAGTTCATCAAATCAGCGACTTACACCCTGTTTGGATTGGAGGTGTCGGACGGAGAGGGAGGGGAAGGGATGGGGACGGATGGCAAGGGAGGGGGAGTGAGGGGGGGCTGTCTCCTTCCTCCTGTTTGGGTTTCCAAAGAGGCAGAGGGGGAGGGAGATGGACTGATTTGGACTCCCTCCAACCACCCTCAAATTTGCAAATTTGCAATCCGCCCGATTTGGGGGGTTTGGGAGGGATTTGAGTGGTTATTTAGACTAGGGTAAATGTAATTACAAAATTAACCTTAATTTTTTTTATTATATCCTTCTCCTTCCTGCGGCAACAACACCTAAACTCTCCTTCTCCTTCTTGCCGGCAACAGCACCAAAACCAGAGGATTCAACAGAGGCCATAAACCAGTAAGTATACTCCTTGTTCTTTATCATATTTTTGTTTCTCTATTTTTTGAGATCCATTGTAATTTTGTCATTCTCCAAGGATATTTTCTTACAATGATCATGAGAAACCTGGCGCATTCTTTTTTTCTCTGACCAAAAAAAAAGTTAGATGCAGGAAGCTACTAGGCTCATATAAACTATAATTTAATTCATCAAAATAGAGAAAGTAAGAAAATTTCTAGAATAGTAATCATCATCACGTGCAATCCAACCATACAACTTTTCTCCTTGATGTCTTGATGAATAATAATCCCTCTTGCCACAGTGGTTACTTTCAAAGCTTTTCTCGAACACAATAGCATTCTTAAGACCATCCCATTCTTTATTAAATTCCATTATTGCAAACCATGAATGCCCTTTTCTATTCCAGAGAGGGTGAACCTTCAAGGGATTAAACCCTTGCCTTGTGAACTCCTCCTTGAGTTTTTTTCCACTTTCCCCTACAGCCCTTCCATCTTCGACTCGGGTTGGAATATATGTTGGCGACAATACCCATCCATGGATGGACAAAGAGCGGATTGTCATCATGATAGTGAGCATGCTGGTACTCACTTCTAATGGGAGGTTTTGAACTTCTTTCTCTGGCTGGAATGGGAAGATCTGAATCCAAACTTCTTTTTCTGGATGGAATGGGAGAATCTGAGCTTCTTCTGGCTGGACCTGCAGAATCTCTACTTCTTTTTCTGGGTGGAGTGGGAGGTTCTGAACTTCTTCTCTTTTCAAGTTTTCTAGTTGCAATGTTAACTTCTGAACTTCTGTTCTTTTCCAGAAAGGAAGGTTCTGAACTTCTTTTCCTAACTGGAATGGGAGGTTTTGGACTGCAATCTTAATTTGATAAATCTAATATGGTTAACTAGTTTGGTCTATATGTAAAAGATGTGCATAACTTTGTTCTTTTCCTTCTATTGCATTTCAAAGAACGTTTTGCTGTTTCACCTTCTGCAGTCAGAACATTTTTTTTTTTTTAATTTTCTCTAACTTGTGCCATTAAATTATAGGAGCAGAATTTTAAATTCTAAAATAATAATTTTTATTATTTTGGTTATATTCTACCATGTTGTTTGTATTCTTGTAGATGACCTTTCGGAGCTTGGTTATATTTTACCATGTTGCTGTGTTTTAAGTGAGTTATTGTTCTCTTGCTTGGTTACAGTTTTACAAGGACAAAGCTGAGATAGGGGTTTGATTTGCTGGCCTTCAAGTACTGATTAAGGTAATTCTTATTTAAAAATTGCTAGTTATAAGGATTCATTTTTTTTATTTTTATGCTTATGAACCTCAATTTTAATTTTGAATTTGATCCTTATCATGACGTAGAATTTTATATTTATATTTGTACAATGAGAGTTTGATTATTCTTTTACTTTTTTGTTATACAACTGAATGTAAAATATATCATAACATCGAATTTTAATTTGTATTTTATAAATATAGATGGATGCCATGAGAGACATGCGTAGAAAGGCCATTGCTCATGTAATATGCTTAGTTGTTTATTGGTGGTTTCTTCGAAGTCGACCAAAAAGAAAGCTTCTTGATGATAATATAATTAATGAGAGAGAACGAGTTCGAGATGAAATAATGAACAAAATTGTGGGGAGTGATAGAAGCCGTTATATCATAGGGATGAGTCCTAGAGCTTTTTTACAATTCTGTAACATACTTGAAAAGGAGGGAGGTCTCCAACTCACAAGGAAAGCAACTATTGAGGAACAAGTAGCTAAAACTCTTTATATTCTAGCTAAGAATGCCAAAAACCGTTCAATCCAATTTTGGTTTCGACGTTCTGGAGAAACTACTAGTCGACATTTTCATAGTGTGTTGAGAGCTATAATAGCAGTTGAAGAAAAATTTATTAAACAACCAGATGGTTCACAAATCCCTGTAGAAATAATGTCAAGTAGTAGATTCTACCCATACTTTAAGGATTGTGTAGGTGCAATTGATGGAACACACATTCGTGTAAAAGTCTCACCCTTAGATGCTCCTAAATATCGTGGCAGAAAAGAGTATCCAACCCAAAATGTCTTAG